GTTGGCTTTTCGATCTCTTTTGATCTCCATGCCAAGGATTTTCTTAGCTGCTCCCAAATCTTTCATCTCAAATTCACTATTCAGCTGACTTTTCAAATTGTTAATTTTTGTTAAATCCTTAGCAGCAATGAGCATGTCATTAACATATAATAATAGGTACACAAATGAACCATCGTTTAACTTCAGGAGTCTTAACTTTAGAAATTTCAGCTTCTGGCTCAACTTCAGGAGTTTCAACTGTATTTTGCTCCAAAGTTGATGAGCTTTCCTGAGAGATAATGCCAATCTCAACCTCCACCTGCTTCTGTGTATTCTTTCCTTTATCTGTATTACAAGGACTAGAAAACTCGTTTCTAGAATGTAACATAGAGGATTCATCAAAGGTTACATCTCTGCTAATTATAAATTTTGGTGCCGTGGGATCATGATACCATAGTCGGTATCATTTCATCCTAGATGCATACTGATCGGTTCCAAACCTATACCACTATTGAGTAGCGAGGATAGTCGATGCAGTTTTACCCAACAAGGTCGGGATCGATTTTCACAAGGAGTTAATTGATTTGGAATTAGGTTTATATCTAAATCTAGATGCGTGGGTTGCTCCTAATTGCACTTCCAAACATGATGGTGTTGATTCTACTTCTAATTCTATTCTATTGTATGCAATGATTAAAGTTAAGTACAATATTTTTGATGTTGGTTTTCAAGAGTTTAAAAGGAGTAGGGTAGTGACTTTCGCCTAAGTGGACATCTAACGGGTAGTAAGAATTTAGGGCAAGCTTGATTAATTTGGGATCGTAATATAGCCATCACACCTAAGTACTCACTCTATATCTCTCGATAGTTTGAATGATTTTGCCCAATTTGGCTTTCTCAAGTCCAACTGGGTATTCATGCAAGTCATGTGATATTAGCTCAATTCGGGTATTATTATATCTAGGTTTAACCCTTTAATTGGGGCTATCAATTTCTTGAGTTCACCTCAATTCCTTGTTAGCCTAGTTTTCCCAGATTTAATCCCTCTTTCTCAAGAAGAGACCAAATCATAAAGGCATGAATCAGTGTTTGCAACTACTAATTCTATAATTCTAGCAAGAACTAAGCTAAATATCACTAACCCATAGACATTCAAGCCCTAAAATTCAAGACCCATTAAATACCCACACTAGGGTTAAGTCACAACCCTAGCTATGAGTCTAGCCACTCATAATAATAGCAGAAATCAAAGATAAGGAGAAGATATAATCCATAATACTAAATTAAAAAATGAAAATTCAATGTTTTAAAGTAAATCTTGTACAAAATTGCACAAAAAGGTAAACCTAGCCGTGTCACATACTCGGCAAAAATATAACATAACCTAAAATTGACAAAAAGATCTATTTATACTAAGTTAAAATTTTCGGACAAAAATACCCATGTGGAAGTTTCGCGGCCGAGTAATTCTGACCGCGGCCGTACACTTGCTTTCGCGTAATTCTGATCGCGGTCCGTATTCTTCACATCTGGACCTGGTTTGAATCTTGTTTCGCAGACCGCGTAATTTCTACCGCGTCCGCGTGAGAGACTTCCGCGGCCGCGTAATTTTGACGCGGACCGCCCTTCTTATTTTTGCTTGAATTATGCACTCTCTAAACCTTAGCAATCGCGGTCCGCAAAATTCCCATAGCGGTCGCGTCGGTACTTTCGTGGCCGCATCTTCTTGTCGCGGTCCGCGTTCATGTTTGTGCCCAAAAAATCATCTCTTATTCTTCATATCGCGGACCGTGAAATAATGGCTACGTCTGCGTTGATACTTTCGCGGCCGCACTTATTTAACGCGGTCCGCATTCCACACCGCTTGGCCCAATTTTGGTTTTTGTTCAAGTTTTGACTTATTTATGAGCTGATTATGGCTCCTTTAGCTCATTTTGAACAATCCCTGCAAGCAAGCATATTAAGTTAATTTCCGGAAATACCTTCACGTATTTTTGGTCCAAAATACAAGTAAAAGAGAGCAATTAATAGGCTAAAATTCCTACTTATCACATACCCAAGGAAAATGTATTTTTTAGCCCTTGGCTCTAATTTTCCATTATTTATATGCATGTATGCAGGGCAACCAAATATCTTTAAATCAGAATAATTAGCAGGAGTACCTGACCACATTTCCTCTGGAGTCTTAAAGTTCAAAGGTGCAGAAGGAGCTCGATTGACAATATAACAAGTTGTAGAGATAGCTTCTGCCCAAAAGGCGTTTGTCAACCCGGCATTTGAAATCATGCAACGAGCCCTTTCCAAAAGAGTTCTATTCATCCNTTTGTCAACCCAGCATTTGAAATCATGCAACGAGCCCTTTCCAAAAGAGTTCTATTCATCCTTTCTGCCACACCATTTTGCTGAGGTGTCATTCTCACAGTATGATGTCGAGCAATTCCTTCATTCTTGCAAAATTCGTTGAATTCATCATTACAAAATTTCAAGCCATTATCTGTTCTAAGCCGCTTAACCTGTTTTCCTGTTTGCTTCTCAATCAAAGCTTTCCATTGTTTGAAATTTAAGAAAACAACACTTTTATTTTTCAGGAAATAAACCTAAACTTTCCTTGAATAATCATCAATGAAAGTTAACATATACCTGACATTACCTTTTGATGGGGTACGTGAAGGACCCCAAAGATCTAAATGAATGTAATCCAAAGTACCTTTTGTTCTACGAATCGTTGGAGATTTGAAGCTGACTCTTTTCTGCTTCCCGAACACACAATGTTCACAGAACTCCATATTTTCGGTACTTTGGCCACATAAGAGACCTCTTTTGCTGAGGATGGAAAGACCTTTTTCACTCATATGCCCTAATCGCATATGCCACAATTTGGTGATGTTTGAATCTGATTTATCTGATATTGAAACTGCAGAAGCACTTGTAACAGTAGATCCCAAAAGAGTATACAACGTACCAGATCTGCGTGCTTTCATGATCACAAGAGCACCATGAGAAATTTTCAGAACTTCACATTCACCTATGTACTTGCACCCAAGAGATTCTAGAGTGCCCAAAGAGATGAGATTTTTCTTCAAGTCAGGAACATGTCTAACATCGGTGAGAGTTCTCACCACACCATCGTACATTTTGATTCGGACTGTACCTTTTTCAATAACTTTGCAGGCAGCATTGTTACCCATCAAGACAACTCCACCTCCAATAGATTCATATGTTGTAAATAAATCCCGATTGGGACACATATGATAAGAACAACCCGAATCTAAAATTCACTCATTGTTAGATTTGAAACTATTATTAGTTGCTAAAAAAATAATTTTCTCAGTCTCATCAGCAGCTACACTTGCTTCGGCAGTGTTAGTATTTTTGTGCTCATTTTTCTTTTCTGTATGCTTTTCTTTGTTTTTAAATTTAAAGCATTAAAAAATAATGTGACATTTCTTATGATAATATTTGCACATAACATTTCTGTATCTGGATTTTGACCTTGATTAAGGTTTCTCACTATTTGAACCTTTCTTATTGGATCTACCTCTTATGAATAAGTCTTCCCCTTGGTTCCCACTAGTTTCCTTAGTAATATCTCTATCTATTTGTTCTTTTGATTTCAAAATAGATTTGATATCTTTATAAGAGATATTATCCTTTCCATAAAGCATAGTATCTCTTATATGTTTAAACGACTGGGGTAAGGAAACAAGCAATAACACAGTTTGATCCTCACCTTTGATTTCAGCATCTATGTTACTTAAATCCATATGAAGAGAATCAAAAGTATCAAGATGTATAAGTATAGAGGTACCTTCAGCCATACGAAAAGTGTAGAGTTTTTGCTTTAGGTAAAGCCAATTTTCTACTATTCTTTTCATATATAAGGTTTTAAGCTTTTCTCATATGCCTTTGGCTGAGCTTTCTGCTGCAACTTCACGCAAAACCTCATTTGAAAGATTTAAAATAATACCTGCTTTTGCCTTTTTGTCTATGACGGCAAACTCCTCGTCCGTCATTTTATCTGGCTTCTTCTCGTTTCCTTGCAGTGCCAAATCTAAGTCATCCTAAATTAGGATAGCTTCCATCTTTAATTGCCACATTCTGAAGCTTGCGCTTTGGTCAAATTTCTCAACATAAGACTTTGCTAGAGTCATTTTAGCTATTTAAACTAATCCGGTTAGATCTGGCTCTGATACCAATTTGTTAGGATCGGTAAACCGGGTAGTGCAGAATTTAGCAAAATAATGTTATAATGACAATAACAAAGACTATGCAAGTTGATAATAACGACAATTAAAGAAGATAAAGAAGACACAAATTTAACGTGGTTCGGTCAAGGTGCTCTACGTTCATAAGCGGAGAGGAGCAATTTCACTATATCAACAAGAGTATAAAAGAGAGTACAAAATTAGAGTAAATACTCTAATTAGTCCCAAATACCTCAAGAGAATAACCTCACAAGATCATTCCAAAGAAAGGGTTCACACAAGTGTTTCTCAACACTCACTCTCTTACAATATACTCTATAATGAAATAAAGGAGGAGAAAGAAAGACAAGAGTGAAAAGCTCTTGAATTGGTGTGTTTACAAATGGGGAGAAGCTCCTCTATTTATAGCAAGAAATCCTTGTCCTAATAGTGGATATTATGTCATGGCAAATGTCATGATCCACAAATTTTGTTATAGTGGATATTATGTCATGACAAATGTCATGAAAATTTAGCCCACTTGAGAAGAAGCTAAATTAATGGTCATATTACACTCTCCTATAGTTCAAATTCAGAAATTGTATACTGAGCATTCCTAGCATATCTAATCTAAAATGCGAAACATTCCGATAGATAACAATCAAAAATTTCACTAAACCTCAGGACAGAAGGCCAGCAATTGAAATTCAATAAATGGTAATGATAATTACTTGGGGTTTACGTGCTGCAACTCAAAATAGAGGGACTAAAGGTACATACACAGAACAGAGGGAATTCGAGACAAATCAACTCAATCCTTCAACCATGGACACTATATCAAATTAAATGTAATGACGATAGAACAATAAATTGCATGAAATTGGTTTCAAACTTTCATCTAGCGGAATACAAGAGATATCCCTCATACATGGGAGTGATATTAGCACAGGCAGCTTACATAGGAATATAATAGATTACACCTATACCTAAACTATAAAGGATAAATTGACCGGTATCTATCAATAAAACAGCAATTACTACTAACCTAAAATGATTACATTCTTTGCAAGATCCTCCACACAGACATGTACAACTAATTTTCCAGCATACAACTACAAGGTAAGTTCGGTCAACTACATAGAATAGTTAGACTAAGTGCTAACAGAAAGTAGAGCAAACAGAGTGGCTGCTAGAGATAACTACAGCTGTGAATATGTGCTGTCTCTGCCTCCACAAGCAATTTACACGGAGTTCCTACATAATATGTGGCAAAAAACTCGTTATTGTCATCCATCATCATCAACAACAACTTCTTATATGATGATGAGCAACTAACAACACAGATGTAGGAAAAGAAGTCGAGCAATCTTCAAATATCTCCAATTTGGTCTTTTGAATGGTTCTTCTCTGACTTACCATAGACCTGATTCTATCAAAGGATAAAGAAACCACGTTTGGATCAGTGTGAACTCTTATGTTTTCGGATAAGGTATGAACTCTTTTTTTCTCTTGGCGTAACTGGTAACGTTGCTGCCATGTGACCAGGAGGTCACGGGTTCGAGCCGTGGAAACAGCCTCTTACAAAAATGCAGCGTGCAACAGACCGTGGTTTGGCCATTCCCTGGACCCGGCGCATAGCGGGAGCTTAGTGCACCGGTCTTCCCTTTTTATGAACTCTTTGTTTTCTTGACACTTTTGGAGCACGTACAACTTTCCAGTCCAAATTGATGATTGAATGCTCTTTGCAAAGAGTCATGTTTTTGTATAAATTTCTCTCCTCTTGTATACAGCTTTAATGCCAGGTTCTTTCCATCAAATTATTATACCAATTACTAACTTCAAAAAGACCTTGTGCATATCGTTCTAAAGAATGCTACTGCTTCATCAGAGCGATTCAGATCGAAGGTGCATTACTTATTCTTGTTTGACTCACATGAATCCATGTACCTTTACCAATTCTGCTGCAGAGAATACCTCCATAGAGAAACATCAGGAACTGAGTAAGCTTAGGAATTTAAACCAGAGGTATTGAATCATTAAAGGTTGATGTATGCAACTTATATATCAACTCAAAATATATAATACTATCCAGGTGACACTTGCAATTTATTCAATTTCTCTTTCTAACACTGGGTATGTTGTTGAATCTCAAATAAGTCAATTGATGCTTCTAGTTCTTATATATCGACAAGAATAACAAGAGAAGTAGTATTCACCTACTCAAAGTTGTTCACGAATGTAAGCCATCGATCTCAGCATTGATCCTAGAGTATCCGTTGAAACTTGAAATTTCACTTCAGTTTCTCCAGAAGGTGTCTTAGTATCTTGAAGCTGTGATGGGAAATGATAAAAACTATCAGTTCATATATTAAAGGACAATACATCACTGCATTCAACTGACATTAATCCTCTCAATCTACAAGGAGAAATGCGATTCAAGGCTGGTAGATAATCAAGAGGAACACCTTTTCTAACTAAAATTTCACAAGGATCTATTATCTCTTCATAATTAGCTTTTCAGTTGTCATGAATGTTACTTTGGAGAGTCATATCAAGGACTACTAAATAGCAAATAGGAATGGCAGGCGGCCCCGCCCCGCAAAAATAAAAATTCTCTCTTTTCCTTTTAAAAGATGACTGTGACAAGAAAAATAGATCGCCTTTTACAAGCTAAATTTTCCATTCATATATTTCAAACATAGAAGGGTCGCTGTTTATTTGTCTCTCAAGCCATATATGGCTTCAGATTTTTTCAACAATTAAATAGCAAGGAATAGTGCTATTATATATGGTAATATTTATAAGTGATTCAAAAAATAAAAGACGAAATTTTTTCCATATGAATTTAAATTGAATTCCACCGGCAAACAAAAATGAGAAGGAGTAATACAAAAAGATGAAAAAAATCAGTAAAGATTTTTAAAACTCCATAACAGTTAAGAATATAACAGTTCTTTTTAGTTTTATTTACGTTCAAAACTTCTAACAATTTCAAAAGCCAGATCATTCATTGTATAATAGACACATGAATTGATGACACTGTATTTTGGGTTGTGGAGATCATTTAGTTCAAAAAATTAAATCCCCGCCCCGCGCCCCGCGTGTTTTTTTATTTATTTAAAATTTGAACCCGCCCCGCCCCGCCCCGCTAACGTTCAAACCCGCACCGCACCCGCACCGCCCCATTGCCATCCCTAATAGCAAAGCCCAGCAGAGCATTTCATTAGCATACATGGCCAAGCTATCGGTGCATTTCCACCCGAATAATTAAGAGATAATTATACACCAGAGGGATACTGCATCCAGAAGATGAAAGGGAGGAAGAGGGAAGGGACAGAGGCCATTATTTGTTTCACATAATTTAGGCATATTCACTTGTATGTCGAGTATGCAGGTGCCAGGTGGTAAAATCGTCAAAACATCAAAAGAAAGAAACTCTCTTTCCCTTGATAGAAAAATTACATCATCCATCTACTAAAGAAAATTTTCAGAACTGTCGCCATAGTGATATCTAATAAAGCTCATTCACTAGATGGAAAGCACGTTAAAGCTTAATAAAGCTCATTTGAATATCTAATATTAATATTAAGATAGTCTTTAGAATGCCTCCCAATGTAACTAATCAGAATGTCCATACTGAATGAGTTTACTTTGCTCCAATTCTGACAAACTTGAAATAATATAATTAAGAATATGTGAAGCAGAAAAGCAACAGTTCAACAGCTCCCAGCTCTTTCAATGAGATTCTGAGATAGGAATAAAATCTTGAAATTCATGATGCAAACCTTTAAATTGATAACAGCTACTCTATTTGCCGGCAGTGAAAGCTGTTGACTTATGTAACCCATGGATTTCAGCATTGGCTCCAGGGTGACTCTTGTAACTCTAAACTGAACTTCTGTTTCCCCTGCTGGGCTCTTGCCATAATCTTGCAACTGAAAGTTGTATCAAATATGTCCAAATAAAATTTCACAAAGGAAATTATTATTTCCACCGATTTTAGACATTAAGAGGATCAAATTTATTTCTCAAGGGAGGAAGAAAAATCAAATCAACTGTATATCTGTTATCCGTATTCAGCCAGAGTATGACTCAGAGTAAAATCTTTTCTAAAACAGGGTACACACCTTCAAATTGATGACAGCCACTTTACTTGCTGGAGTTGTGTTTTCAATCACCCATGTCATAGACTTAAAACAAGTATAAACAACCTACATGAAACAAAATACGTGAAGGAGAGAAAAGGCATTAATTCATCTCTGCGGCAGTTGAGTAGGTCATTCTTTTCTTGTACAAAATAGTCAAAGACAGATAAAAATTTGAGAAATGTATATACAAGTTACAAAAGAGGTATTTCTTTCTTCTCATACCACATTATCAGCAAGGCCACCATCACGATTTATAGCCACAGGTGTCATAGTGGGCTGATTTAAGTCACCAGCAGGTAAACCGACATCATTAAGGTTAAAATGACGAGGCATTGTATCTTGCCAAGGCCATAAAGATGGTGCGGTATCAGAAGTAGCCAGAGTTCTTTTTATGCTCTCATCCTGAGTACTTCCACTTCCCTGTGAGCTAGGGGGTCTTATAATATTTTTCGCAACAATAGAAATCTTACTCAACCCGTCTCTTAAAGCACTAATCGCTGCATCATAGGTCTCCACAGAAACTGCCCCTTCTTCCGCATATCTTAAAGCTTCCAGACATAAGTGGTTGAAACGTGAAGAGAGAGAATTAATTCCTTGTTTAACAATGTCTTCTTCTGATCCTTGTCCAACTTTTGCATTCCTTGTCCACCTCCTAAGTATATAATGGGACGGAACTGTAAGAACATTAGTCACTGTGAAGACGGTTAAGATGTGCCTACACAAGATGCCCGAATACTCAAACATATGGCAGCTGCAACTCGCTTTCATCTCGGCAAGATTCAACATTACAATGTATGCTTTGTCATCCTGTTCATATTTTGCGACCCTAAATTTGCTTAGTCTCTCATCACCATCAATCTTATTGGCAGTGTAGGCAAAAGTTTCAACTAGTTCCTCTTGAAACTTTGCAAAAACTTTTTTGGTGTAGAGGTTAGATGCTTGTTGTTCCATTGGAGATGGGGTCTTTAGCATTGGTGTGGTGCAATTTGTATCAAAATCTGATTGAATTTCCCTTTCAAGTGAACTTTCTAAAGCTCTTTCATACTGCTTAAAGAACATTGGTAGAGTTGTCTGTTGATTCACATATCCATCAAAAAAGGAGGTTACACCCTGGTTCGAGGGAAGTGCAGCAAAGAAAGTATCTCGAAAATATACTGGAGCCCACTGGTTGCGAGCATTATATACAGCTTGAAGCCACTCATTTTTCCTGAGACCATACCTATCAAGTATAGAGGCCCAAGATAATTCGAAATCCTCAATAGTCTCAGAATAGTTAATGCAGCTATACAGCTTCCCATAAAAAGAAGGATGAGCCATATATATGTGAGCCAATCTTTCCTGCCCTTCTCGTAAGATATGCCACTTACAGATGCAATGACGAGTACCCGGTAATACTTGGTTGACTGCTGCCTTAATAGCTCTATCCTGGTCGGTTGTAATAGAAACTGGAGGGCGATTATTCATTGCAGATAGCCAGGTCCGAAAAAGCCAAGTAAAGGAAGACTCGGACTCATCTAAGAGTAATGCACAGCCAAACAAAACAATTTGTCCATGATGATTTACGCCTGTGAATGGAGCAAATGGAACCTGGAATTGATTTGGTCTATACATTGTATCAAAAATAACAGCATCACCAAAGTGACTATAAGCTATCCTCGATCTTGCATCAGCCCAAAAAGCATTCGTCATGCGATTTTCATCATCAAGTTGAATAGCATAGTAGAAACCAGGATTTTCCGCTTGCATTTTTTTGAAATAGTCAAGAAGATTATGGGCATCTCTTCCAAGTGTTCTCTTTCGGCTGCAAGGCTGGATAAACATTATTGGTATGACAGGGCTAAAGTTCTTGGTCACACGATTTGACTCCACAGGAGAAGCATCCTTAACACCTTCATTAGAACTGACAGATACATGATTTCCGTCCACCGGAACCATAACAACAGTTGGAGCCCCCGGTGTCTCTCCAACAGTCTTGGAAGCACCAGCAAAATGTTTACAAGGTCGAAGGTAATGCACCTTGCTGGGATTCACGATTGAATGATTGTGATCCTCAACGAATTTAGTCACAATCCAACTATCTGAATTTTTCCTCTCTATGCGAAGCATAGCGTTGCAACTCTCTATATTCTTCCTTCTAACAACTTCTCTGGAACAAGAATAGTCCCAACTAATGATAGGGCCGTCAGGTTTAGCTCGGCTGTACTGTCCAACATGTATGCTAAAGCCCACATGCCTAGCATATGCGTCAAAAAAATTCTTTGCTGCTTCTTCTGTTTGAAACTCCATCCCCACATATGGCTTCTCTTCCCCATCATCAAATTCAACGATAGCATCTCTTTCAGTAAAATTCTCCGGCAAACCCTGTTTAAAATTGTGATTTAGTTCAGCAGCTATTTCCCCAGTTTTTTGCCTCTTCTGCCCTTCTACATCAATCACTTCAATATTCATTTTACTGGGAAACTGACATTGACAGATCAATCAATTTCTTCTTGATCAAAACGTCCTCTTGTCATCTCTTGTAAAAAGAAAATGAACAATAGATGGCCTTAACATCATATGAAATGGAACAAGGTAACCAGTGACTCAATATTTTATACATTTAAAAACAAAAAAGAATAACCCAACACTCCAATTTTACACACATGAGCATACACCTTCCACTAAACTTTATATGGAAATAGATATCAATAATGTTTAGGACAAAGAAAATAACAAGTAATACTGCTTAAAAAATTATTAATATATATAATCTCAGCACCAGAAAGCAGTACTAATTGTTACCAAAAACGTAATAAACAAAGCCAGGCCATATGGGTTGATTATGCTAACGGGAGTAAAAACTAAGCAATTAGGGTAAAGGATTAGAAGTGAATACAAATTGAAGGCTAAATCTTACCCAAAAATATAAACCTGAAATTCGAGCCTAATTGTATGTAACTTTCAGCAAAATTTGTTGGGAGTGCTCCAAAGATTCTTGGCTAGGCTAGAGTGTTACTGATACTACTAGCTCTCTCTCCTCTCTCCTCTCTCTCTCTCTCTCTCTCTCTCTCTCTGCTCGCGCGCGCTGGTGCTGGGATTGTTAGAATGAAGAACTTTCTCTGCTCTCTTTTCCACTGTCCTAATTCTTTTTTCTCTTTTTGGTAGTTTTCAGTTTAATTTTGTCAAATGCAATGCAACTCCGGTAAAGCTTTGAATACCTGAGTCCTCAAGTCTAGTACATAAATTTTTTAATTTAATTGCTTAACTTTACTCTATGTAATATTAAAGTTACAATATTATTTTTTTATAATAGTAAAATTATTAAATTATTTGTTAGTTGTCCAAAAAAATAAAACTATCAAAAAGTTATCATTTTGCCAACATCTACATGCCATGTTATTCATTTTGAAAAGAAAATCTATAGTTATTTTAGAATACAATATATTTGTAAAATTACTTAAAATTTATTGAATTGTATTATTAAATCCCTTACTCCAATAATTTATTGTTACATTAATTATCTTTTCCATTTGGACTTAGTACTATTTAATAATCTCATTTTACCTTTTACCTATGTTTCTTTTTAATTTCACCATTTGTTCAGTTTTTTAAATCATATTTTTAGTTTCTCTTTTTTTGTTTGTACTTCTTTATTACCTTTCACATCACTTTTTAATTGATAATTGTCTTGTTATTTTATTTTTTGAGTTTCGGCGCTCAAATTCCTTAATCGTCGATGATCAACCCCGACACATTTAGGCTTTGATCTTCGACTCCTAAGCTCTATTCCAAGTGAGAAGACTTCTGTGGGTCGCGCTACTGACCTTTGATTCACGTGATTCCGAAAATTTGTTTACTAGTATATCATATTTTACAACATTTATCTAATTGATCCTACAAACATTTCTTGAGTTTTATTTATCGATCTCATATGTTGTGTGGGAGTGATATATAACTAAGAACATTTGTAAAATTGCAAGATTGCAAGAAAATTTCCTTCTTGCTCTAATTAGATGTGAGTCCTAACCTTGCTCAACTCATTTTACATGTTTATTTGAATGTAACTTTTATGCGTATGAGAGTGTCATTTTGTGTTTCGTCTTGGTAATATTAAAGATGCAATACGACTGAGGGGCTGGGGGATATCAACAGGCAAATGAAGAAAAAAAAGGGGAGCATAGATTCACCCTTCAAAAACTTGTTAAGCAACATTATAGCTAAACTGCAGTAGTTCGTTTTGGAGAAGAAACTAATTAAAACACAGTCACAAGGCCTTCTGCTTGTGTCCCTATATCTAGGAAAGGAAAAGGGCATCTAAAGCTAGCTAGGAGGAAGGTTTCCTATCAAACTTATAGTTTCATTTCGACACAAAACTGAACCTTTAGTCCAAACCTCCAACATCTTTCATGTCGCTAGAAACGGATGTGGTTCTAGACACAGATGATGATGAAGTAGGCGAATTCGATGGATTCATCATTGCTTCCTCCTTAGCTTCAATCATGTCGATGATCATGCTGTCGGAGAATACATCCAGGTTGAACTCATTCTCACTTGATTGCTCGTAGAAATTGAAGTCAATGTTGTTGTCAAAGCCAGTATTGTTGAAAAAATCCATCAAGTCGGATGGTTTGTCAAGTGAGAAGTCGGAAACTGGGAAGGAATCAAATGTGTCATCCAAGTACATGTTCCACGGGTTGTCATCTTCCTCCTCGTGATCCTTGGCCTTTATTTTATCAGCAGATTCCACTGAAGGAGCAAACTCCAACTTCAGAACTTTTGGTTGAGTCACTTCATCAGAATCAAGTGAAGGCGTAAACTCCAACTTTGGTACTACTATTGGTTCCACTGCTAATTCTTCTTGCTCTTCTTGGTGAAACTTCTGTTGGTTTTCTTCTTCTTGTTGAACTGGCTGTTGTTGTTCAGACACCTCATTTGATTGCACTTCAGCAGAGGATTCTGTTTTTTCCTCCTTCGGTATCAGTTCTGGTTCACGGAATTTCTTCAACTTATCTGCATACGTGCTGATGTCGAAGTTGGTGACTGCATTTGGCCCTCTGAACTCAATTGCTGCTAAATCATATGCTGCAGCTGCTTCCTCTTGAGTGCCTTCAGCAAGGAGAAGAAGTAAATAACCAGTGATTTCAAGAATCTGTTTGTCCACTAAACTCATTCCAGATAATGTTACTGCACTCAACTATTTGAACTAGTTTATAAAATCCCAGAATACACCAACTGAACATTGCAAATAGAAGGCAGCAGACCTAAACAAAGACATCATCCATTCAAAACAATTGGCAAATACACAATGCCGTATTTTGCATTTTCCAATCGCCAATGCCATCGGCAAGTGAAAACATAAGTAACAAGGAAATTGATGAATCTTAACTAAACTAAATGTATGTGACAATATAAACGCTCTAGATTGGGCTTACTCGTTCGTAAAAAGCAACAAATTATGCCTCAATTGCAAGTAACATGGGATTATATTACTACTTGTTCCGAAAACAACACAAGTGTCTAACTTCAACTCTTTTTGAATGATATAGTACTACTTGTTCAACCCATAGGTGTACATGACATGTTTTTCTTCATCATTAAGGGGTCGTTTGGTACGTGGGATAAGGATAATAATCTCAGGATAGAGTTTGGGATTAACTTTATCCCATGTTTGGTTTGGGGTATTACCTAATCCCGGGATAACTTTTACACTAGGGTCATTTGGTACATGGGATAAGGATAATAATCCTGGGATAAAATTTGGGATTAACTCTATATTATATTTGGTTTGGGGGTATTAGCCAATCCCAGGATAACTTTTACACTATCCCATATAAAAAGTGGGATAACTAATCCCATAGGATATCCCACCATTGTACCAAACTACCCCTAAAATGGTGGGATTAATTGTCTCATATAGAAGGTAGGATAGCTAATCTCATGAGATATCCCAACCTTATACCAAAGGATGACCCTTGTGGTCTGAAGGATAAGAAGTGCTCCCCTTTAAATGGGCCCCTATGCGTCGCAAATTAAGATTAGTTGGACTATCAAAGACCTNGGGGGGGTGAATGGGTGGGGAAAAGAAGAGATTGTACCTTATGCATCACTTAAAGTAAAAGAGAAATGTCATAAATGATAAAGGAGGGTGTGGTCTTTGCAGCCTTGTTCCAGTGATCAGGGTTAGTTTTTTGGAGTGTATAGTTGGACTGGACATGAGGATGATGAGACAGTATGCATCAATCCAAAGGCATAATTGTCTACTGAGATTAAACATAAATTATTCAGCCCATTAGCATGAATCAAGGGTCTGACAATATCACGAGCCAAGATCTATACACACAGATTAATAATAAACAGTTAACTATTCACATCTCTTACTACTGTAGTAATTAATATCTCCCACTTAACTAAGTACATAGCATCTACATGATTCAGGTAATTTCATAAAAATCAAAATTGGCTCAATTGAGTTGCCGAATGGAGCAAGTTGTTACACTACATAACTAAACGGCAATATTTTTATATCTATTAAAAATAAACCAATTTTATGGTGTGCCATATTCCATTTACTTAATATAGGAAGTGATGTTTAATTTAACAACCCACTTAAAAATTTTATAATGCATATGTGGGACCCACTCAATGGTCGGAACCGGCCAAATCCCAGGTTAAGCTTTGCTTATTCGTGAGTAACTAGAATCATATGGTCTAAAGAGGTTCTGTAGCTATTGATTGCTTAAATATGGACATTAGTAGTACTAGTAAATTTTTGTTTATTCTCTAGTTTAGTCAAACCACCACAGAACAAAATGGGTAAGGCTTAAACCCACTAAAGAAAAAAGAGGAATATTTTCAGTTTTTATAAGGTTGAACAGAAATCCTTAACTTTTTGTACGGTCCACAAAGATCTGCATCAAATATTTAATATTGGACCACCTCAGCCTTTTAACTTTGATCGCAGTAAATAATATAAAACACCAATTATCATGTGCCATGTCAGCTTTAATCCTATTGATGTATTAGATGTTAGACATGCAAAAGCGATAAATCTTTTCAAAGTACTGAATCTCCTATACTGAAAAAAGAATTGGACACAACAAAGATTATAGGGAGAAGATTAAGATACCTCTAGCGTCAACCAAAAGTTTTCGATTCTAGTTCTGAGAATAAAGAATCTAAGGACCCGTTTAGTCATAGATTTTGTCAAAATAAACTTGGGTTTTATTTGGCAAACACATGTTTGGCCATAGATTTTGCCTACATTTTGGCCAAATCTCAAGTCCCAAATCCCAAAATCAGCTCAATAGCTGGTTTTGGGCCAAAATATCCCTATTATATTTTTTAAAAATTGTCCCTAACTTTTGTATTTTATAAAAGAGCCCACCATTTATTATTTTGTAACGATGTTGCTTCGTATTCTCGGTCATCTGATAGTGTATCATGTAGTTCATTATAAAAATGATAATTTTGTATCAAATTTATTTATGTTCAGGACTATGATTTGCGATAATATAATGAATGTTATTGATAATAGTATTGTTTGGTATTTGTGATAGTTTTTAAAACTTGTGAATATAAGTCATGTTTCATGTTTTTCCAAACCAAATTTCATCCAAAACATATGTCCAAACACATTTTCATCCTCAAACCAAACTTCACCCAAATCAAATTTTTCAGAATAAATTTGGGAATCTATGGCCAAACGCTAGCTAAAAAACCTTGAACCGACCAACAAACTAGCACTCGAAATCACACTAACCACATTTTAAGGTGCAAAATGAAAGAAAGATAAGTTAGAGACATACTGTAAGTTCCCAAATAGAGGTACTTATTTCCAAAGACTCGTCCAATTCTTGCTTCCCATCGACCATTATGGTGGTGCCTGTCAAAATCAAAATCAAAATCCAACAATAGTGGGTCAAATTCGCGTTCTGTCCAAAAATAAGGGGTTATTTTTGCAAAATGCAGCTCGTAGAATGGTCAATTTTTCGAATCCATAATCACTTAAGCATGACTCACATGGTCACACCCCACAGCCCACATATAGACAGTGAATCCAAATGGGTCCCACTAAAACTAGGTCCCAGTGGGTCCCACTTAACCAGTTGTGCGCAAAAAGCATGAAAATCCACAAAATTTGTTGACTTCTACTAAATGTACGCTCAATATAAGTAAAAATTAAAAT